ATATTACAACACATCACAAACTTGAGTAGTATGCTTATAACATCTGTCATCAAAACCAAAACCAGATACTTAGATCCACATAAATCACAGCAAACCTGCCATCTCACAGCAAGAGTCAACCCCCACCCCATGCCACAGCCTTCAAAATATTGAGATAATTGATGGATCGCCGTCTTTTCTCTTCTGATCACCGAGGTTTTGCTTCAGAACAATACCACATGATGAGTCCACTCTTTTTGATGCTAACATGTGAATACTGTTTCCATAATTTAGTATGCAGCGTACAGGTCTGAATCGACATGTTTGTAAGAGATTCCATCTTGTCAAACAGGGGGGAAGGGAGAATCTGACAGCAGGCATTTGTAGGATATGGCCAAATCTCTGCTGGATCCTGCTTTCACTGCACAGTCCCTGAAGCACATAAAACTTATCCCACTTTTATAAAGCCACGCATGCATGAAACCGAGGGTAGAATTTCAAGTAGAAATTGATGACTTAGTAAAAACACATATAATTTCCCCATATAAGAGAGAAAGGGAAGGCACACCAAGAAAACATTGTTCCTGAACAAGGTGATTAAAAATTCAAGAGCCCCTTTTGAAGTAAAAAACCTCACAAAGCTCATCAAATCTGTTTAAAGGTAGACATCGTCAATAAAGAGAATAAGCACAGGAGAATTAGGCAGCAGCACTTTTGAAGCGTTATGGTTCTTATGTTTGTTTATATTTAGTACAGAAAAACCTCTAAAGCAAAGGAGATAGAGGTAGATTTACTAGATGGATTAGTAAATGTGTGCTTTTAAAAGAAGAGCACAGTATCAGTCATACGTTGTCTTAAAGGTATCATTTTTTAAATTTTTTATATCCAAATTTTGATGATTAGGTAAGTAGGCCTCTAAATATACATGTATTTATTAAGTTATTATTGGTTTTGGAAAAAATATTGGCATGTTTATAACTTAAACTAATACAGAGATATTTCAAACAAAGAGAAAAAGACATGTTTTCAAGGTAAAACACTACACACAGTTTTCACACTAAAGAGGGTGGCTCTCTTTAAATGCTCATTTCTGCTATTTTAGCTATGGAATTACCTGTCAGATCATCCATTTTATTGCCCTGCAATTGTTCTTATGTGGTTTAGAAGCTTAGAGAATAAGCATAAAGGATATGGACAGCTGAATCATTCTGCCTGGGTTCAAATGCTGTTTTGCCACATATTAACTCCGACCTTGGGCAAATCACTTGTCATCCTGAATGTAGGTTTATTCTTTTATGAAATGAAGTTAATAGCATCTTCTACCTGGTCTAGGGATAATAAAATGCTCTGCAATCCCAAAGCCTTGTGGTCTGAATCCACCAGCTGCTCTGAGGGAGAAAAATGGCCTCTGAAAACCCACTCGAGGCTCCGCTATGGATCAGTTCTGACTTGGTGCTACACAAAAACCTCATCGAGTTGTGGCAAAAACTAAACAAGTTAATGTCTCAGAAAGACTTGGTATAGGGGAAGCACTATTTATCATTAATTTTACTTTTCTACTTAAAAGTCTTGGCCTCCATTTCTGATCTCCTTTTTCTATACCTTTTTTTAAATGTTGTCTCACATTTATTTTTATTTTCTTGCTCAGATTCCTGAACCTTATCTTCATCACCATAATCCATATATTTGATTAAACACAATGTGTTTTAATAGAGATACCCTTAATGATGCCTCCCCTTTCAACAAAGAGATAAGTTTAATAATAATATAGATTTTTTTTCCAATGGTAAAATCTCCTACTGAATATGGGTCTTATAATGATGTATTGTAGCTTAATAAGGATGGTACATGGGAAAATATGTCACAAACCTGATGTCACGCTTTCTACACGAGCAATACTAGAGTATTGGTGAAGAACACCACTCTGGAGTAGAACACTTTACTCCAGAGACAGAGATGAGGAGATATAAGCAGACTCTGTTTTCAGAAAGCCCCTGTGTAGTGGTAAAATCAGATTAGTCAACAACGTCCACATGGGCTAGCATTGTCTGTGCTCTGGAGAGCACTGCATGATGGTGTTCAATGTAGAAAGAAACAGGGGAAATCAAAGTTATTGAAGGGACATTAGAAACCTGGGATAATCCTTTCTAAAGCAGAATAAATTTGAGAATAAGAAAATAGAGGAAAGAGTCAGTGTGAAAACAATGTATATGAACTTTATTAACTTTGTAAATAAACCAGGATAAAATTGAAAAAGAAAAAATAAGAATAGAGACTTTGCAGAAAAAGCACGAAGATGTCCTATGAGACCACGAGAAAGCTTATAGTTATCTGGAATGACTGAATCTTGGGCATCTGAAAGTGTTAGAAACCAAAATGAAGCCAAAGAGAGAAAGTCATAAAGATAAATGGATTACAAATAAAAGAGAAATGGGTACTAGAAGGAGTAAAGATCTAAAATAAAGGAGTAGAATTCTATGGAAAAATATTTTTCCCCTCCACACTCATCAAGATAGGGTGGAAGAGGAGCTTGTATATAGAAACATTGGGTGGATATTTCACTATGTGCAGAAATACAGTGAATGTCTTTCTATGACCTTCAGTTTCTCTGTAAAGAAAGGTATAAAGGTATCATCTACAAAATTAATGGGAAGATGGCAGGTTCATCTGGGAGGAGAGAGGTAAAGATTTAGAAATAGATGTGAAATGAAATGAAGGAAGATTGGAGCTTTCTTGATACATGAAAAAGATCATCTGGCAATGTTAGTGTGAGGTGAATGTTAGAGAGTGTGTACGTGGGTGCACAAGCGGATGGGATTATATATTATTTCCACGCAATAAGATTCTGTTTGACCAACAGTGCTTAAGGCCATGATGTTAGATTATTTGATGTTGATTTCTCAAGGTATTTCTCTCCACACAGGTACAAATGAAATTAACTTAAAAGGTTAAGTAAAATAAAAGTACAGGTGAAGAGTGATGTCAGCCACATAAAATATGGCAATAATAAATAACATAGAGTAATCAGACACATAAGTAAGAAAGGTCAGTTGAGAGGGGAAAATGTATGAATTGTGAGAGAAAGAGTGAAGAGATGAAATGCAAAAAACTTTTCACTCTCTAGTCTTTTTCTTCTAAAATTAAAAAAGGAATTTTAGAAAAATTATCTTTCTCTCAATCACCTAAACTTTCTTTTTTCTTCTTATAGAAAATTCTTCTGAAAATATGAAAACCCTTAAGTGGGGTGGTCATACACTGAGACACTTAGGAAAGTGAGACACTTTAGAAAGTGAAATTAAATAATGTAAATGATTAATTAGAATAGACAGACATCTAGACCTTACAAATACAAGGTCATTCTAGAGTTAAAAGGGAGGCCTGAGGGCTTACTATTAAGGAGTTGCACTGTCAACCCAAAAGCAAGCAGTTCAAATCCACCAGCTGTTGTGTGGGAGAGAGATAGGCAAACTCTCAATCTTTCCAGTTCAGCTTACTGCTTCTCAAAACCCACTGGAGGGTCAGCTATGAGTTGGTTCTGACTCAGTAGTACATAACAACAACAACTACACTTTAAGTCAAGCCGAAATAACCCCACTATCATCCAGTGACTAGGGATGATATAAAGAGAATTGATGCCTTTGAGCTGTGGTGCTGGAGAAGAGTGTTGAATATACCATGGACTGCTAGGAGAACAAACAGGTTTGTCCTGGAGAGGGTGAAGGCAGAATGCTCTTGGAGTCAAGGATTCTGAGGCTTCGTCTGACATACTTCGGGCATGTTGCAAGGAGGGACCAGGCCTTGGAGAGGGATATCATGTTTGGGAGAGTGGAAGGACAGTGCAGGAGAGGAAGACCCTTGATGAGATGGATCGATTCAGTGATTAAGGCAGTGGGAGTAGGTTTGTCTGAGATGGGGAGATTGGCACAGGATAGAGCAGGGTTTAGGGCTCTTGTACATAGGGTCGTTATGAGTCGCAAGTGACTCGACGGCACATAACAACATCATTCCGTTGATTTTAATCATCACAATCTTCCAACATGTTTCTAAAGCTGTAAAGCATAGGTGAAAGAGTCTTCCTTACCGTTCTCCTGTGGAACTGATAGTAGGTTCAAACTTTTATTCTTTTAAGAAACAGCTCAACATGTAACCTACTAGCCACAAGGACTTCTAAAATGAAATTAATTGCCTTCCAATCAATTACAAATCATGGAGAAATCTTAGATGTTGGAATAGAACTGTATTCCCTACTGTTTCCAAATACTGATTCTTCAGAAGTAAATCCAAGACCATTGTTCCAAGGAAACCCTAGGTGGACTTGATTTAGGAGACAAGCACATTAACCACTTACAGTACCCAGGGATTCCCACTGTACACTTACTTCACTTCCGTAAAATTGAGTCTAACTTAAAGTGATCCCTCCATTAGGTTTCTGAGGCTGTAAAGATTTATCAGAGGTGACTTCCCATCTTTCTCCCTAGAAGAACCTGTTGTATTTGAACCACTGAGCTTTTGGATAGCAACCTGACACATATGATGCTAAACCACTGGGGTCTTTACTTTACTCTCACTTTTCTAACAACAACTTAAAATTAAAACATTTCAAGATACATAGCCAGAAAGATGATATTAACAAAAGGTTAAAGAAGGTATAAAATTTCAGGATTAATTTACCTTATTTCACAACTATCACAAATACCAATAATTTTCAACATGCTAATATCTCCTATAATTATAAATAGTTTATTATCATTTGAAAAACTAACTATCTTATTTAGCCCTTCAGGTGCCTAAATCCGCCATACTTATTACCATCCAGTCAATCCTAACTTTTCTGTCTTGCTCTTTCTATATCTATCATCCAAAAATATACAGAACTGATTAAAGTAGTAAGTTTGTTTTCAAACAAAAGGAACAGATGCTCCTATTTTAAGACAATTTTTTAATAAAGAGGTTGAGTGTCTTACTTTAAGAAGGCAAGGTTTAAGTGTAGATCTGGAAGTTTCCATGACAAGAACTCGGACATGACACAACCAGGTGACTCAAATCTCACCTTCTTCCTTATTATTACCTTCAAGTAAAAAAAAAACTCATAACTGACCTTCCAGCTAGTTTTCAGAAGCTCCTAAGTGCATAGAAAGAGATTATCCATCTTTCTTTCCAAGGGTAACTGGTGGATCTGAACTGTCTACTAGTGGGTTGGCAGCGCAACTCTTTACCACAGGGTTACCAAAACCCCTTCCTCATAGGGTTTCCAAGACTGTAAATCTTTACATATGCAAGCTGTCATATCTTTGTGGTGTAGCAGTTAATGTGTTCTAATCTCTGACCTCTAGTTAGTAGCTTATAATTTTCACCACTAAACCATCATTACTCTATTATCAAAACAGAGAATTCAAAGCTCAAGTTCATTGCCACTGAGCTGGAACCAATTCACAGGTAACCTTCCAGTGAACTTTTAAAGGCTGTAAAATGCAAAGGTGGAGATTGCCCATCTTTCTCCCACCAAGAAGACTGGTGGATTTAAATCACCTGCCTTGTGGTCCACAGCTCAACTCCTTAGCCAGCATGCCAGTAATATACAGAATTGATTAAATCAGTTACAGGGTTTTTTTTTGTTTCAAACAATAGTAATAGATTCTAGGATTTTTAAAGAAATAAAATTTCATTTTAATTGTGATTTTAATGAGTGTTTTCAGAGAAGTTAGATTTTCATTTATTCATTGTTGCACATTTTACCCTCTCTTTGCTATCACTCAGTTCACTTTTTTTAATATTCACTCTCTGTTGCGCACTTACCTCCCCTTTCCCCAGTCTTATTTGCAATGATATACCTCTTATTCTGCGTTGTTGTCATTATGTGCTGTTGAGTCACTTGCGACTCATAGTGACCCTATGTACAACAGCCCTAAACCATGCTCTATCTCTTGCCGACATTATTGTCTCTGACACACCCATCCGCATTACCCCAGTGATGGAATCAATCCATCTCATCGAGGGTCTTCCTCTCCTGTGCTGTCACTCCACTTTCCCAAGCATGACGTCCCTCTCCAAGGACTGATCCCACCTTTTAATATGTCCAAAGTATATCAGACAAAACTTCAGAATCCTTGACTCCAAGGAGCAGCCTTCATTTTCTCCAGGACAAACCTGTTTGTTCTCCTAGAAGTTCCTGATATATTCAATAGTCTTCTCCAGCACCACAGCTCAAAGGCAGTCATTCCTTTTAGACAGTTCTTTTCTTCATCTGTTCCAATGCAATGGTCATTATCTATCCACTCTTATCCTATTCTCCTTTCCACTCCCCATGTCAGATTCTAGTATTTTTAAGACACTTTTTTTTTAAAATAAAGAGATGGATTCTCTTACCTTAAGAAGGTAAGATACTAGTGTAGATCCAAGAGTTTCCGTGGTATGAACTCAGGCGTAATACCTCCAGACGACTCAATGCTCACCATCTTCCATCTTCCCTTACCTTTGCTCAGTACTTAATTATTTTTTTAATTATTATTTATTTATTTTATTAAAGAAATGTAAACAAACAGTCCATACAAACACATTTTAAAATTACATCTTTCAAAACCCTATTGCCGGAGTCCTGCAGCTGTAAGCAAAATCACATCT